TTGTTCTTGTTAGGTATTTTGGTCACAGTAGCAAAAAGAAAAAAAAAAATGCTTAACACACTGCTCTTCCTCACTACCTTCTAAGTCTTTCTTCCATGATTTAAAATATCTATTCAGTTATCAATTCTTCAGATGGAGAATTCAAATCAAATTCTGATTGGATTGCATCCATTTAGTGAATGGCTATGTGAACAAAACTAAATATAAATCTTTTTTTAATTTTTTTTAGTTGTAGTTGGACACAATAGCTTTATTTTATTTATTTTTATGTGGTGCTGAGAATCAAACCCAGGGCCTTGCACATGCTAGGTGAACTCTCTACCTTTGAGCCACAACCCCAGCCCATAAACATAAATCTTAATTCCTCATTTGCATGTTTCTCTGACCCCCTAGAAAATGTTACCAATGACAGAACTAACAACTACAACTTCAGCTTTACAGTAAGTATGATTTTTATTTATTTTCTGTAATTCACCTTAATATCGATTACAAAGGTTTAGTGGCAAACAAAATCCCATAGAGCCCTGGAGACATAGGAGGGTGACATCTATGTGATCTTCAGTGTTTCCAAATCTCCTCACCAACATTTGCTGAAAGACTCAATACCTTGTCATCTGTGACAGCTGATTCGGGACTTTACTCTCCAGAATGAAGCCCCTTGTATCTGAGACTCTTTTAGATCCTTTCTCATGGATCCATTTCCAGATATTAGGAATCATTTTGTGCTCCCAGCCCTGGTGCTGTGGGGCTCTCTGTGGCTATGACTGCTGTTCCCCACCTCTCTGCACCTCTCCCCAGTGCACAGGCATCAAGACTCAGGCCAGGGATTCTGAGTTCCACTTGGCCTTTATTCAGAAAGAGCAACATGGACGCTCCCTGACATTTTATATCTGCAGCCATCTGAGCTTCTTGTTTTACCAGTCTCACCCTTTCACTCTAGTCCTTCCTCCTACCCAACCAATGTCCAGGAGCAAGGTTACATCTGAGAATGGAAATGAGATGGGAGATTAAAACTAAAATAATTGGGGCTTAAAAACTTTCCCAAAGTGAGTTTTTTCATGACTCCTTTATTTTTGGGATTACACTCCTAATGCAATGTTTATTACTCTTAATTCTCATCAAATTTAGAGCAAAAAGACTCTCTTCTCTGTGGCTGTGGTCTATGCTCTACTTCTACTGGGACAGTAGGTTTCTGTGCAGCTGCAGGTGCCTGGGGAGCACTGTGTGCTCACTGCACAGAGGTAGGTGGCTGAGTCACTGAGCTGGGAGCCTCGGATGTGCAGGAAAAGATGCCGTTTGGCTGTATTAAGCTGTGCGTTGAATCTTCCTTCACCTTTTGGCTGTATTAAGCTGTGCGTTGAATCTTCCTTCACCTTTTTCACCATTGGAGTATATGGATATGAGCAATTTGGGACATTTCCCAGAATACTGTTGGTACCACCCGAAGTTCTGAGAAGCACTGTCACTGTAAGTGCAATTGAGAGAGGCCATGGCTTCCTCTGGAACACTGAGGGCTGCAGGACTCTGCTCCACTGCCTTCTGTTGGCTGTGCACCCCTGTGCAAAAAGACAATGGTCCAGGAAGGGTGGTTGGGTAGTGGACACTCTGCAGGATTTAAAGTACCCTTTCATTGGCCTCCCATCCTCCCCATGTTTCTATCCATGAGCATAGAATAAATAGTAACTTCAAATATTGTCCTTTATGCTCCCACAGAAATCCCAAACTCACGGCTCAGCTGAAGCCACAGGACCAGTAATAAAACACTCAAGGATTTCATCATTCTTTTCTCCCCTAGTTTATGAAGGAATCAGATGTTAAACCCTAAAGAGAGGTAGGGAAGGCTCATTTAGATGTTTATGATTCTTCTGCTTTAGAAAACATATAAAGAATCTGATCTTCCAATTAGAAAAAAGAAGTATTTTTGCCCTCCCCGCAACACCAACAAGCTCTTCCCCCTCCCACCCCCTACCCTTCTCCCCACCCCTCCAACACACTCAGAGAAGCATCTGACAGCTTTCCTAAAGGTCCCTGAGAAGACACTGCCATCTTGTGGACTCATGATAGTCACCCTTCTTAACTGTAAACTATTTACACTAAAATCCTGCCACGTGAGCAAATTCTGATTGGGTTACATCCATTTAGCCAATGACTATATGAACAAACATAAATAAATCTTTATTTATTTATGAATATAAATCTTTTGTTCCATGTCAATGGGGGGGCATGTATATGTATATGTATTTTATAACCAAAGGCCATCTTTTCTGATTAAGAACAATTATTTCAAGTGGCTATTTTCTGCACTGAAAAGCATTCCTGATAGTTCTATTATAGAAATCTGTGTGAGGGTCTGGCAATTCAAGCAGCATTTCATATTTCCCAATTCAAAATGAGGAACCCCATACCATCCCATCATCTCTAATTTTTAAAGTTACTTGTAATTCACCAGAATTCTTTCAAAACAGAGTTGTTTCAAATCTGGTTTAACAAGCATGGTTTCAGCTCTCAGCCTGGACAGTATTTTCTAGCAAGGTCAGAAACTGGAGGAACTTGGACAATTTTATCCATTTAACACCAATGACACATTTGTGTCC